AAAAAAAAAAAATAATAATAAATATCGAACGATCGATACAATATTTTCCTCGATTTTATGACAAATATTGAAAGATCGATATTTTCCTCGTCGTCTCGTCCTGTATAAATCTTCTTTTAAACGAAAAAAAAAAAAAATAATAATAAATATCTAACGAATGATACAATATTTTCCTCGTCGTCTCGTCCTGTATAAATCTTCCTTTAAACGAAAAAAAAAAATAATAAATATCGAATGATCAATACAATATTTTTCTCGATTTTATGACAAATATTGAAAGATCGATATTTCCCTCGTCGTCTCGTCCTGTATAAATCTTCCTTTAAATGAAAAAAAAAAAAAATAATAAATATCGAATGATTGATACAATATTTTCCTCGATTTTATGACAAATATGGAACGATCGATACAATATTTTCCTCGTCCCATATAAATCTTTAAATGGAAAAAAAAAAAATTGGTATTTCATTTTAATCCCTTTCTAATTAAACTTTCGAATTATTTCCTTCTCACGATTATTTCGCAATTATCTTATCTGCTTGTGTTAATGTAATTTCTTACTTAATAGCTTTTTTTAATGAACAATGATTGTCAACGTTCTTAATAAGTATTTTCGATATATTTTGTACAATTTATTCGTTATCGTGTACGGATATATGTAAGGATGAAATATATTTTTGAACAGTGGTTTATTTATGGCCGAGGCAAGCGACACGAGAAGCTGGCAAGTCTCTTCCGGGGAATACAATCGACCTATTTCCAGTAGATGCTCGACGGATTAATTTCTAATCTCTAACGATTTCGTTGGAATCCATTCTGATAACGACCATATATGCATCAATTTAGAGGAAATTACAAGGATTCTTCATTGTTCCCTATGATTCAATGAACAATTTAATCAAGTTAATATATCTCTTTATACTTGTAAAATTTTCTTCTTTACTTTTTTTCAAATTTCTCTAAATTTCTCTATTTTCCATCACATTGATCGAACTTTCACTATCAAGAATTTTTCCATTTTCCATTATAGAATATTATATATTATAAAACATAAATCATTTCCAATTCGAAAAACATCCGTAAAACATCCTCTGCAAAACACTCTTCCGGATAGAAAAGAAAGAAACAAAAATTTCCAAAACAACATTCTTCTAAAAATCTAAACATCCATCTTCGTAAACACCCTTCGAAAAAGTAAGCAAGTTAAGTAAGTTCCCTTCAGCAAATTCAAGCATCCTTTCGAAAGCATCCTTTTCCTCCTTCCTCCGAAAAATACAAGCATCCTTTGCAAAAGCCAAGCATCCTCGATGGGTCACTGCACTCGCATTCGAGGAGACTACAAACACCACCCAACCAACCGAGATGAACAAAGAGACAGAGACAGACAGAGAGAGATAGACACACACACAGAGAGACAGAGAGAGAGAGGAGAGAGAGAGAGCTACGTATCGAAGAACCCTAGGAACAAACAGGAAAGGCGCCGGTGGGCTGCCGGCGGCCGATTGTATTGCTGGTGGTGGCCGTGTGTGTTTGCTGGTAAACCTAGGAGGAGAGCCGGAGAGAGAAGAACCTCGGTGAACCGTTAGACGCGGCTACTAAATCTGCTCGATCGGTCTCTCTTAGGCCGCGCTTAGGCGTATAACAGTAGGATCGAAGAATCTTCTCGCCTCTGCTTCTCGTCGAATCAGCGCGGGTTCCATCGCAGGAAATCGTATGCGGCGGCGGCTCGGTATGCGGTTTCCTGGAAAAGCCATCGTGGAAGAAAAAATAGTTGCCCCGGATACGCGCGCACGGATTGATTTCTTGAACGCGCAGGGAACGGTTTCAACCCTTACGCGGTGTGCTACTTTACTTAACTCGAGCGTTACGCAAACGTTTTTATTTCTGGACTTCTTTTTCTTTGTTTCTAGACTCTTTTTT